TGAAAGTCACCCTGTATATACATTTTACATCCTATTTTTTACCTGACTTAATACTTTACATGTTTCATAAACACCATCTTTTATGCCCCATATATATGTGCATTGTCGGAGCCCTGGTGGCATTGTGGGTTATATTCTGGGCTGCTAACTCCAAGATCAGCACTTCAAACCCACCAGCAGCTTCTTCGGGGAAAGATGAGGCTTTCTGCTCCCATAATGATTTACAGCCTCAGAAACCCACAGGGGCCGTTTTGTTCTATCATACAAGGTGGCTAGAGTAAAAAATCGACTTGATGGCAGTGAATTGTTACATGTGTATTGTAGTTCATGTAACCAATTCTCTCATTAAATACTTGGGTCATTTTATAGAGGTCTGATAATGCCGCAACGAGCATCTTTATTTTTCTTTGTTGGGCACCCCCGATAAAGGAATGCCGCCTCTCCCTTCGCCCAGATCAGTCGTGTCTACTGTCTAGTCAGTGACGCCCTCAGTCCTCCCCCCCTCCCTGGTAGCTGTCCAGAGTATTTTCCTCTGTGTCCAGTCCTTCCTGAACTTTTTACATAATAGTGAGCTCATGCAACGTTTGTCCTTTGGCAACTGACTTATTCACTCAGCACAACGCCCTCTAGGTCGTCCACATTGTGAGGGATTTCTTGGATTCTTTCATGATCTTTAACACTGCCTAATATCCCATTTGTGGGGACAACTAGGGTTCAGAATGGGGATGGTTGAGTAACATGATGATACCTTAACAAACACCCAACAGCTTTTTAAAGACTGGCAAAGCAAGTCCTTGAGTTTGAGTCAAGCAAAAGAACAATTGCCCAGCCCTGCCAATCTGGCAAGGTGACCAGAAGTGCTCGGGGTCTGGATGGCTGCCATCATCACTTACATGGTCGATGGCATTCAGGTCCTTGGGTCGAGCAGCTGCAGAGAGAGGGACAGTTGTGTCTCACAGCGAGGTGGATGGGAGAGGAGCCCTGCTGTGGGAGAAGCAAGCAAATCAATGGATGGGCCCTTACTAGCATGCCCAGCTGCAGCCTGTTGCTGGGAGGTGGGAGTAAGGTGGAGAATAGGCCTCAGTGTTTGGGGCCCTGGTGGCCTGAGGGGTTTAACAGCCTTGATTCTTGACTTCTTGGAACCCCCAACTGATCCTTAATATGGGAGGGAACCTACAAACTCCCCGAGGCTTTGTGATGTGACCGAGGCAAGTCATTTCCCTCCGTCTGCCAGGTAGTGTTTGGGTTCCTTCTCGGGGCTTGTTTCATCCACACAGGAAGTAGATAGGCCAGTACTCACATAGTCCTCCCCTTACAAAGAAAAACACTAAGGTTCAGAAAACTTAATCAACTTACTCAGGAGAAATCAGTACTGTGTTATGGAACTTTCTGTGCCCACAACTAGGTAGATGCCTAACTATTTAGGTGTGAAATGAATCAATGAGAACCAGTGGGACAGAGCAGAGATCCCGCTCCACGCCCAGTGCCCCCCCAAGGCCTCGCTCCAGGCCGGAGGATGCCACCTCCAGTGTCCCCCTGGCTGTAACTGACGAAGTGCAGAGAT